GGGCGGGGCTCGGGCGAGGAGGAGCAGACGGAGGAGAGGAGGCACTTAGTGGCCGAGAGGAGGGGCGGAGCGAGCGGGGCGAGCTTGGTGGGCGGGGCTCGGGAGAAGAGGGGAGAAGAGGAGGCACCTAGTGGCCGAGATGAGGGGCGGAGCTAGCGGGGCTCGGGAGAGGAGGAGCAGACGGAGAGGAGGGGAGGCACCTACTGGCCGAGATGAGGGGCGGGGCGGGTTGATCTCTTCTATGGCCGCCTATCCTGAAACTGGCAGAGTATGGCCACGCTGCGCAGGCTGCAGGAGGTACCGCGGCACTTGCTGGTCTGCGAAAAATCTAACTTCGGCCACGACAAGTCGCGTCACCAGCACCTCGTGGAGACGCAATATCACAATTACAAGGTAAGGCGGGTCAACTTCGGGCTAGCGGCATCCGGCTCCACGTGCACGGGAGAGGCTCTGGGAGCGACGGGCTCCGCCGGTTACGGCGGAAACTCCCACAAGGTACGCTGGGTGGGGCGTGGGAGTCGGGAGCCGGAGTGGGGCGGGAGCGAAGTCCCTTTCAGGGCATGCTGGGAGCTGTAGTTCCTTGAGCGTTCCCAAGTATGTAGAGGTGTTGCAGGCCAGAGTGGACTGTTAACAACTCCCGGGGCCTGCGGTGGAACCCGACCTGGGATGGACGATCTGGGGGCGCACGGGGCTCATTCTGTGCGGAGGCCCCACAGTAGGGTGTTTGGAGCGCTTGACCTCAGCGTTGTTCAGCCCACTACGTGTCGGTCGCTTTTGCCCAACATCAGGGATGCACTGCCCCCCATCCGCACCCCTACACCCATTTCTCTGCGCAGCCTGGTTCCTTCTCACACCTGCGTGGCTGCAAATCTTTCCAGAGCACTATAGCTAGCATGCCCAGGAAGCGACTAGAATTTAATAAACCGCCTGTGGGAATCGGATTTCTGCCTGAAACCCTCGGGTTTCTCCAATCACAGTACACCTTTTCAGCTGCTGATATCTGAGCCCAATTGCGTAGTGGGAACGCGGTGAGCTGCTCACTGCTAGGTCAGCAGTTCAAAACCAACAGCTGCTCTGCGGGAGAAAGATGAGGCTTTGTATTCTGGTAAAAAGTTTCGTCTCCCAAACCGAAAGGGGCACTTCTACCCTGTTCTATAGGGTCTCTGGGAGTAAGAAACGACTCAGCACTGATTTTGGTTTTTGGAGGGTGATACTGGTGTAAACATTTTGCACTTTAATTAACCAAATCACCATTTAGGTTGACCTGGTGAGCCAGATTCCTCAGGAACAGACTGGCATTACAATTTGAGGAAAGAGGCTTCAAGTTGTGCAGCACATGAACTTGGCACCTTCTGAAATTTGTCAGGATTTAGCAAACATCTTCGCTTGGAGTGGAAAAAGCGAACACTGAAATCAAGTCATTTAAGACTCATGGAGAGCTCATCCAAAACAGCACCTTGTTTCAGCCTAGAAAATGCAAACAGCCAAGAGTATTGCCGCTTCCATGTATCCTTTCAATAATTGGATGCTGCGTTTTCGCTGTTCGATAATAATAATAATGCCAGGGTAAACAAATTCGGGGATGTTCTGTTGTATCACAGGTCCGTGGATATCTTTGGGTGATACAAATGATTTGCAAGGGACTACTAATCTGTTGTGTTGCTCTGCTAACTACAAGGTCAGCTGGACAAAACCACCAGCTGCATGGAAGAAGAAAGATGAGGTTTTCTATTCCCATGAAGAGTTACAGTCTCATAAACTCACAAGGGCAGTTCCACCCTGCCCTATAGTGTCACTAAGAGTCGGAATCAACTTGTGGCAGTAAATGAAAAGGATGCCGTTCACACCAATTCAGTGATGCTGTGGAAGAAAGTCCTGGCAATCTGCTTCCATAAAGATTAAAGCCAAGACGTCTGTGGAATGTTGGTGCAGTTTTGATCTCTAATACAGTGGTTCTCAACCTTCCTAATGCCGCGACCCTTTAATACAGTTCCTCATGTTGTGGTGACCCTCAAACATACATTTATTTTCGATGCACCTTGATAACTGTAATTTTGCTACTGTTATAAATTGGGCGACCCTGTGAAAGGGTCGGTCAACCTCCAAAGAGGTCGCGACCCACAGGTTGAGAACCACTGCTCTAATCCATGGGGCTACTGTGATTGGGAATGAGTAGGAAAGGGATCAGGAAATAAAATAGATGGCTCATTTGCAGAAGAGAAACGTTTCACCCAAACTTCTCTATTCAGTTTCTTTGCTGTTGAAACAATCTTAATTCTCAATTTTCTCCTTTCACAAGATTGGTAAGTTAACTTTAGCTTTTTTTTTTTTTTTGTCCATATTTTTGTTTCAGGGAAACATGTGGGGGAATAGTTAGAAGCTCTTAAGACCTTGTTTGTTCCCTAAGAACCCGAATGTTAATCTACAGGAAAATAAGACCTGGTTTATATTGTATATTCCAATAGGTTTCATTTCTCATTCCTGAATGTGGGATACTATCAAAAGAGCTGAAAAGCCTGGTTATGGAAAATGGACCATTTTACTTTGTGAAGAACTTACCTCTTCATGAACTAATTTCACATGAATTCATCAACACCTTTGTAAAGAAAGGTAAGGAGAACTGTGTGATGTCTGTGATCTTGGGAATGATGATGGGCAGACCACACCATAGTGCCAGGGTTCTTCTCTTGCTTTAATTAGGGTCTGTGGTGATTGTAAAGGTGCCTGGTGACTTAATGGGTTACATTTGTGTTGCTAACCTTATTTATGGTCAGCAGTTCAAACCCAAAAGCCTCTCTGAGTGAGAAAGATGAGACTTTTTATTTCTCTATATATTTTTCACTAAGGAATGGTTCTGTTCCGTCCTGTAGGGTCCCTGGCAGGGAGTTTGACTTTTGGTTTCTGATGGTGATCGTGTGGCATACAACACTTTCCCCAGTATTCTCATCCTGCCCTTTTTTTTTTTTTTTTAGATTCTTGTTCTTCTTATATCTGTCCACAATGTTGTATGAGGGTGTTGCAACATGAATAATCATAATAGTGGATAATTTCACAATGGATGATTGCATTATGATGCAGTCATCACAATGGAGGAAGGATGAATGGAGAGGAAAGTGTAGCATTTGCTTTGTTGAGATCCCTACTTTTGGCTGTTTATCTGCAAAGACCACACGCTGTCTTGAGTTATCTCAAAGGGTATTTGCTTCTGGTCACCACAACTGCTATTTATAGCTAAGTATTCGTTGGGATTTTGTACCTTGGATTTTGTGGTTCTAGCCTCCCTCTTCTTACCCCATTCCTAGTTATATCAACGGAATGGATTGGTTGGTTCTAGATTCCTGACTGCCATCTGTTTAAAACTGTATTTCTTGGTGCCTTTAGAGAGTCTCTGGGTGGCGCAACAGGTTGCTAACCAAAACGGAGGTTTGAGTCCACCCACAGGTGCTTTGGAAGAAAGGCCTGGTGATCTGCTTTTGAAAAGCCAGCCACTGATAAGAGTACGTTTCTAGTCTGACACAGGTGGAGTCACCAGGAGTAGGAGTTGATGGCAGTTAGTTTTGTTTTTAAAAAGTAGGTCTGCCCTCACTACAAAGTCACCCCAGTTGAGCTCCAGGTATAGAAGTCCCTTCTTTAGCCCCATGCTTGTCCTCTGCAGTGGATCTGTGCACAACACAAGTGTATCTGGAAGCTGTCTTCATTCTGATGCTACTGGGACCACAGAAAAAGCAGGGCACCCTTTCTTTGGACGCATAACATCAACTTTGCTTCTGTATTAGATTTTAATATTCCTTTGTTAATGAGGTAGCTACTTGCTGATTATCAGGTACTTTTACATTTTATTAGTTTTATTTGCATATATTTCACTTATCAAACAATTTGATCATTCAGTCATATTAAGAAAAGTGATGCAGTCACTACCACAATCAATTTCAGAATATTATTTTCCTTCTTGTTGTTAGTGCCCCATGTCCTCCCAAACCTCCTCTGCCATGCCCCAGATAATTGGTTTTCCAATTACACAACTTCTACCTATATAATTCAGTGTCACTGATTATACTCTTCATGCTGTACAGCCATTATTGATACCCTTTTCCAAATGATTCTACCACCATGTCACTGATTATACTCTTCATGCTGTACAGCCATTATTGATACCCCTTTCCAAATGATTCTACCACCATGGACATAAACTCAATGCCCCTAAGCCACAACCCTTTCACCTATGGTAACTATCGGTCATTTGGTTCTTTTTTTCACCCCTGTGGTTTTCTTGATATAGTATTCACATGTAAATATACTTCCATGGTTAAATCACTTTCAAAATTAGTTGCATAATCACAAGCAATTCTATTGCTCCCTTCCCCCTCCTGCATTCATTGTTTGCTCCCCAAATCCCCCTCACCCTCCCTATCTCTCACCACCTATATCCCCTATAAATCCTTGCATCAGCTATTGTCTCTATGCATCTACTCCTTCTGTGCTTCCCAAGAGAAACAATAAAAACAAGAACAAAATAAAGTGATAAGGATAAATTTATAAGCATATAAAGAGAAAAATACAAATAATGAATAAGAAAGAAAAGACCATCATCAATATTTTAAAAACCAGGGAAGAAATTTTTTATCAATAAATATTTTATCCAGAAATATTTGCACGTAGAACAAATTCTGCTTGGGTCCAGAGGGAGGTTAAATGACCAAGTATCAAGTTTGATCCCAGATAATCAGGATTACAGTACAATACTTAACTGGCAGGGGAGATACCATGATCTCGAAGGTGGTTTTCCCAGGGCGAGGCTTATCCATTGCACTCCGGATTGCTGACCCCTGCGATTTTTTCCAAATGTGGGAAACTCAACTAAATAATTTGTGGTAGTGGGGTACTGCGTTCGCGCTCTCCCCTGTAAAAAAAAAGGATTACAGTGCCAGGCAGTCCCACCAATCCCCTGCCAGGTTTAACTCAGTGCCTTGCACCAAGTAGTTCAATAAATATCTGTTCTGGAAAAAAAAAAAAGATTACAGTGATCTCTATCTGATAGTTAAGTTGTTTGAGACCCTTGCCTGTAGCTGGAGGGAATCTGCCAGTGGATTAATCTGACGAGATGCTCTACAGATGGGTTTTGGGCTCCTACTGCCCTCCATAGCCTTCTACAAATTAGATGTTCACAATTTAAGCTCTGATATTTTTCCCTTCATCATATTTGGATTTTGTTATTGTCATCTTTGGATCACACAAGCTGGCTTATCAGGTACTTTTACACATTATATTTAAGTATGCTTTATGGTCTCAAGTTTACAGATGTGGAAACTGGAACTCAAAGAGGTGAAATAGTTTAGAAAGCAAAATTTTGGTTAGATGTTTCATTTTAATGCTTTATTGTTTTTGAGACTACACACAGCAGAACATCCACCAAGTCAACAGTTTCTAATGTACAATTGAGGGTTATTGATTGCATTTAAGTTGTGCAACCATTCTCATCCTCCTTTTCCAAATTGTCCTTGCCACATTAACATAAACTCATTGCCCCCTACACTTCCCATCTAAGCTTCTAAGTTGCTACTCTGAATTAGGCCCCACATAACCAAACTCCAGACTCACTGCTATCAAGCAATTCTGACCTACAGAGATTCAGTAGAACAGAGTAAACTGCCGCTTTGGGATTCTAAGGGTGTAAATCTTTATAGGAGCAAGCCTCATCTTTCTCCCAAGGTGGTTTCAAACTGCTGACCCTGAGGTTAGCAGCCTAACACTTAACCATACTTTTTAAAGGAGCACAGTGCTAAAAGCAGATCTTTTTCACTAATTAAGCTAAACTATTCGTTTCATTTTAAGAATATTTCAGGGGACATTTTTGGTTTAAAGTTTAAAGATTATATGATAACAAGGTTCATTCAGCCTTTGTCGTCACGCCAGAAAATTTGTATTCTATGGCAATATGGAAGACTGTTTTGCAATTTCTCCCTTTTGATGAGGATTCTTCTATATTCTTTGATCAAAATGTTCAGTAATGGTAATAAGTACTAACCAGTTCTTTTGCTCTCAAAGTAAAGGAGGCAGCTGTTCAGAGGCAATTAATTATACTTTTTTTTGGTGGCCTCCTTCTGTCCCTCTTTTTCCTTCCCCTCTTGCTCCAGGTGAAGAGGAGAGACCAGTTGTATCTTAGATGGCTACTTGCAAGTTTTTAAGTCCACAGGCACTACACAAGTTTTTAAGACCACAGGCACTACACAACAAGCCAAGAAGTAGAACAGAAGTACTAAACACAATCTTAAGCCAGTTACCTGGGATATCTCATGAAACTATGACCATAAACATGTAAACCTCAAAACTGAATCCCATGAGATGCTTGGTTCGACCTTAGTATCCTCATCAGTTGCAATTTTTTGTTGTTGTAAATGTATCTATCCACATTTTCCAATTCAGCTTTCTCCATGTGTACAACTTAGTGACCATTACATTAATCATTAACCCTACCCTGAATTAATGCAATTTTCTCCCATTGTAAACTGAAACTCA